TTCTTCAATATTCTGAACTGGAGTACAGTATAATTCGTTTCTCAAGTATCTCCATAAAAAAAGTCCAGAGGATTTAGATCGGTAGACCGTGGAGGCCCTTGCAATTGGTCCATCCTTTCCGATCCAGCGTATCTGGTATACCTGATTAAAAAAATCACGAACTTCTAAACGAAAATGCGGAGGTGCCCCATCGTGCAGAAATTACATCCGTGCTCGGACCGCCAAAAAAGACCGGCAAATCATTCCGAAGAAATTTCAAATACTGGTGACCATCCATCCGACCTGGCAATAAGAACGATCCAATTAGACGTTCATCGGCAATACCTGCCGACACGTTTAAAGAAAAACGATGTTGGAAGTGTGTCTGGACCACTGCGTGAGGATTCTCAAAGGACCAAACGTGTGTATTATGAAGACATTTATCCCATTATGAGTAAAAATAGCTTCATCGGTGGACAAAATATCAGCTGTAAAACGGGCATTTCGAGTATTTTCTTGCAACAACCACTCACAAAATCGTGCTCTCAGGGGGTAGTCTGTAGGTAGCAACGCCTGGACTCTCTGGGCGTGATAAGGGTACAGTTGGGCCTCATGTAATATGCGCCACGCTGTTGCGTGTGACATTTCTGGGACCTGTTGGGCTATTTGCATTGTGCTTATTCCCTGATTTTCTTCCACAGTATCCAAAATTTCGTCTCCGGCATTTAAATCGCGTTGTGAGCGAACCCGACCTCCATCCACTCCACATCTGTTGCGCAAATCTCCACTAGAACGTGCACGTAAAGCAATTGAACTAAATCAGTGTGCATACAAACGAGAAGTTACTCGCGACTTTTGCCCTGCTTCTCCGTACGCTAAAACAATGTCCACTAACTCCTCATTAAATTACACATGTGCCATTTTAATTATTAAATAACTAAAAACATAAACTCGCAAAATACTTTCTTAACTTCACAAAAATCGACCGTTCTTCATTCAGATCACCCACGATACAAATTAAACCTTATTTACACGTTCTTAACAGTATCAAAAAATAAAAAATATCTGGTATTTTGTTTTTGTCAGTTGTTTGGTACAAGATTTGCTGCAATAAATTATTAATGCGTGTTCTAATATCGCGACGATGATCGCAAAATACAGATGTTTATTTTTCAATTTATTACTGAAACTCAGGTTTATAACTTAATTTCTGTAGGACTTTTATTACATTTTTTTTAGAAATCAACTTCTTTCGTAACAGTGCATATGTGGTTAAAATTTGCCGGATAAGTTGTGAAACACATCGTTTACTTTCATTAGTTTAGTCGAAAACTTAAATTTTGTGTTTTATTTATCCTAGTCCAAACCAGTTGGCACCTAGCCGCATATACAGTCTAGCATAAGCGGTATGTACGAGGGTGGTCTGATAAGTGTCAGACCTAACAAAGATACAAGACATTTTCTCTGATTTTTTTTATTTTTCAATATAGTCTCTTTGTAAGTTCACAAACTTCTCCCAGCGGTGCTCCCATCTCTGTAACACTTCCAAGTAGTACTCGGCGTTTTTCCCAGCAAAATAATTGTTCACCAATGTGGCTGCCTCTGCATTTGACGAAAATCTGTCTTCCGAAAGGTATTTTTAAATGAGGGAACAAAGAGAAGATCTGGTTGAGTAAGCCGAATGGTAATGCAGTTCAAATTCGTGGATTTTCCCCTTATCAACCGCTGAGGTGTGTGCCTTCAGCTTATCAAGTAATGGATGCGTAGTATAATCCTGTAATGGTTTTTCGTTTTTGAAGATTATCGACTAAAATAACTCAATGACTACTCCAAAACACAGTCGCCATCACTTTCCCAGCCGAAAAAAACAGTTTTTGCTTATTTTGGAGCCGGTTCCCCCTTTGCAGTCCACTGTTTGAACTGTATTTTTGTTTCGGGTATATAATGGTATATCCAAGTTTCATCTACAGCAATTAATCGCCGCCAAAACTCGGATTTATTGCGCCCAAACTGCGCCAACAGAGCGTTGTAAGTGTTCATTCGAACACGTTTTTGGTCTAACGTGAGCAAACGCGGCACCCAACGAGTGGATAGCTTTCTCATGACTAAATGTTGATTTATATAAGACAAACACGTTCTTTTGACATGGTCATAACCTCTGCCAGCTTTCTCACATTAATTCGGCGGCACCATTTGGTGAAGTTTGGCGATGGTTTCGCCGGTAGTTGCAGATTTGAACGTCCCGAACGTTCATCGTATCCCAAGCTCTTACGGCCACGTTTAAATGAAGCTGCCCAAAACTGCAATGTGGTAAATGCTGGTGCAAAGTGACCTTACATAGATTTCAATTCATGTTTGATTTAAGTAGGCGTATTGCCTTTCAAAAACAAATATTTAATGACAGCTCGTTACTCGATTTTCTCCGTTTTCAAAAAATCCCTGCCATCAACTGACTCAAACGTTACTGTTACATAACAACTGCGCGTCCAAAAAGACTGAAACTTTGGTGAGTAACTATCAACAGATGAACAACGAAGTTCCCTAGCGTTTATTTACAAGTGCTGTCATGTATGTATGTATATGATTAAATTATTCATAGAATTCAAGTTTTTGACTAAAGTAATGAAAATAAGTATCCAAGTAACAAAAAAAGCGACTACCATTTTCACTATATTTTGTATACAACTTTTTTTTAAACGATTATACAAATAAGTTAGAGTGGGTCAATTCATGGTGGGACACTTGGTACAAGGGTTGTTTTTTGCTTGTTCACCCTTGGGCGCATTCCGCACATGTATATCGATCTTTATTAATTTCTGGCGATAGGGTGTTTTGCAATCTTCATCAAAAGTGCTGCTAAGGTAAAGTAAAACTGCTCCACACTCTTCTTTTGTGGAACAGTTAAACTAGGTTTGGATCACGTGATTTGAATGAACGAGTTTACATCAAAGCCTTTGAGATGAAATTATTTATTAATTCCTTTATGATGAATAATAACCAGCCCAAATTCTGGATCGGCTGCGCCCAATATCACGTACAGAAAAGTGAGAAAATACACCTTCGACAGATTAACCTTTGTATTCTGTGATGTAGCATATACCTTAAGAAACCACTTTTAAACAGACAATTGCTGGTCTTGACATAAAAAATATCACAGTTTGCTGCAATGCTAAACTAAATTGAGCTCAACTACATGGAGACATATCTAAGTCAAACTCTAAGTACGCTACACATCAAACAATTATACTTACAGTTCTTTCCATGTAACGTCTGCACAACTGCACACAAAATTGATATTTTTTATGTTAGCGACCAGATGCGTAACCAAAAATATGATTTACATCATGAATAGTTCAAGATCCATAACAATTAAAGCCTTAATATGGTTTTGCTCAAATTAAGTGTTCGAATGTACTGCTGTGATGTGGACAAATGTTGCAAATCGAAAGATTGTAAAAATGTTTTCAATCGCGGCCAAGTAGTTACATTTTTATTTTTCCTTTTTACCTGTCGACAATTAAAATTAAAGGTATATCAGTTATATCAAATTTAAAATTCTCTTCTTGGTTAGTAAAATGACAGAAACTGTTAAGAAATAGTTGTGACATTTAGATTGAATGACTTTAAAATGTATAATGCAATTTTATTTTTGTTTTTCTGAGTATACTTTACGACGATAAAGCCAAATTTATTAGGTCATTCGGAGAGTTCTTGCGATTTTTAACCTTCAAATTTAATGGAGCATATCTCAGCTTAAACAAAACTTTATTAATCAAAATAAAAACCATCAGAATCAGTACACGAGAAGCAAGTTTATTTACGCCAACGTAGAAATCCGGAGTTCTGTAGGCTATAAACTCATTGAAGGTATTTCTGGCATCGTCATGGTTATGGAAGCATTCCTCGCGAAGGAAGTTATCCAGGTGTTTGAAAAAGTGGTAGTCAGTGGACGAGAGATCCGGCGAATATGGTGGATGACTTTCAGAGTGTGACCGGACGTTGTCGTGGAGGAGAATTGGTCCCTTTATATTGACCAATCTAGGCCACACACGTCGGAGCTTATTATGTATTTCGTCGATTTGCTGGCAGTACTTCTCCGCCGTAGTCGTTTCGCCCGAATTTAGAAAGCTGTGGTGGATGAGATCGGCTGTAGACCACCAAACAGTCACCATAACCTTCTATGGATGGAGTTTCGCCTTCGGGAAGCGTTGTGGAGACTCGTCGCTATCCAACCTTAGCGCAGAACGTCGCCTATTGTCGTCAGAGAATCCACTATTCATGACATGTCACAATCCGGTCGAGAAACGGGTCGTTTTTGTTGCGTAGAAGTAGGGCAGACGCCACCTTAAAACGACGATTTTTCCGATCTTCGCCATTTATCGAGCATTTTTGACTTTCCGATCCATTTCAAGTGTTTACAAACAGTTGTGCTTGGGTTTGCTTCCACCAAGTACTATAATTCGTCGTCGTCGACATCATGTGGCCGACCATTGTGCCCTTCATCTTCAAGGCTCTCGTCACCGCTGCGGATTTCTTGAAGCACCATTGTGCCTTACGTTTTTTTAGTGGTTCCTTGGCCAAATGCATCGATCGCGAGCTGCCTCGGTAGCTTTTCAACCTAATTTGAACTGGAATAAGAAAATCGTGCGAATTTGCCTCTTGTCCATCGTATATTTGAAGTCCAGCAAAAAAAAAGTTATTGTAAAACAAAACGAAAGAACGACCAGATAGAGCGAAAAAATGCGCTTTGAAATTGTATATAAAGTCAAAGAATTATAAATACATTTTAGTGTAAAATGCATCATTTATAAATAACAAAAACCGCAAGAACTTTCCGAACAACCTAATAATTTCACAACTTCACTACACTGGGATGTATCATAGTAAGTGATGACAAAATCGATGTAAAAGCTGTTTCAATAGATCGCCATTATTGCAGATGCATATCACTGTTCAAGTGGAGGTAAAAGACACATCATCAATACGAGATAAGTTTATATATACAGTCGTTCAAAAATTACCTGATAAAGCCTGAGTCAACAATGGGGTGTTGTTATTAGGGGTGAGTTGTCCATTAGTAAGGTCCACTGCAAACACAGACAAAACACACAATTAGAGATACGGGAGCACACAATGGTAGAATAATGGTTAAGTATCTTAGCAAAAACTGAGGAGTGTGATGCAATTCGTTCATGTGCAAAATTACAGTTGTACCTTAGATAATGGTAGAGAGATTAATATATTTTTTTGATGAAGCATATCATTGTGATCATCAGTGAAATCACTGCTGGCAAATACCCTGATCCTTTCACAGCATGCATACGTATGATTTGGTCTGTTAATTTCCTTAGTCTTCGTCTGTTACATCGTATTTTTATAATTTTTTTGGTATAATAAGTATACATGATGACTTCATAAGAGGAGTATTTTATTAGGGTTCAGACTTATATATCCTTTGTCTAATTGATCTGAAATCATCAGCATTGTAGAATAAGATGGAGGCTGTGCGAGTTTATTGAAAAGTCGTTTTATTATACTGTACTTATTAATAGTCTAAAACACACGTCATCAGAAAGCTTATCATTTTAGTTAGTCTCAATCTTCAAAACTAAAATGATGTTGATTATTTCACAGTTTCTGAGATTCATGAAACAACACGCAACATTTATATCGTTACATTTGCACTTGTCAAAAGAGAATAAGCCATATAACTGCAATTCTAAGGCGTCCCCACTAAATATCCCATTTGTTCCTCAAGAATAAACAATAAGAGAATTTGAAAACAAAGAAGGAATCAACTTGATGTATGTAGATTATTTATTTTATTGTATTATTGTAATTGTTTGTCTTCTATTCACTAACTGTTATTTCCGACATTTTCTTTTATTATTCCATCTATATTAAAAATGAACAGATATGCAATTTTTTAAGATTAAATGTTACCTTAGTCTTGGAGGCAGTGAATCAACATCCCTAATGTGGATGTCAGATTCGTCTTCAAACTTTATTTCATTTACACATTTTTACCTAAAACGAGTTATGGTCAAATCACGATCATGTTCAAAGCTTGGGTGTCAACATTTTAAACAATTTAAGAAATTAAGTTTTTGATATTTTTCAAGTATCTGATCACCTCAGGGCGTGCATTTATGAATCAAACATTTTGAATCTGTGCTTCTGGAAATGTTGAAAACGAACGTATGTGAATGCGTGGGAAGTACGGAGCGATTCTACTTGATACTATTTTCAAATCTTCCCCTATAGGCTGTGCGCTATGACTTTCACATATTTTCCAACGTGTTTTGTCGGGATGATCCATGGGACCTTCGTCCTCATGTCAGGTTTGGAAAACCGAAAACAAACATTTCAAAAACCACTACCCGCCCCTGTTTTATAATATATCCCAACCCTCGCAAAGCCCTCTCTCATCAATCAAAAAATCTTTTGTATACATAACTTCACTTTGACTGGCAGTTTTAGTTGGAAAGTTTTCCATATTTCCGAACACGTACGTTCGACCAACAGTCGATTTCTTGCGTAGCGTCGACTCGGCACGGTTTGACATCGAACTTAAATGGAAAAGCTCCTTAGAATTTTTGCCAGTGAGCTCAGGTGCACGATGAATAACTTTTAATAGCTTTTTCATTAAATCTGCGTCACAGTGAACAGCGTGAAAAATTTATTTTGCCAAAGGCACCGTAACTGATATGATTTATGAATAATGCTCCTGTGGCGACGTTTATCTAAGTTATTCTGGAGGCATTTTTAGTTATACATGACCATTTTCATCAATAAGAAGATTATAAAATATTCCGTGATGAATACTTCACAAATAAGTTGATGATATTCAGCCAATATGTTTTAGTGTATGTTGCTAAATGTATGGAGCTACAGTTTAAGTTTATACCTCGATAGTTGTTTTGTGAGCGGTCATTTGCCGGAGAACTTAGTGGACATACAACAGAAATTTTTAGGCATTACGGGGAATTGACAAGTATTCCGATGAATTACGGCGATGTATCAAATGTCTGTCTCTTAATGTTACTTCCATTAAAGGTCATAGCGCAGCCACACCTATTCGAAATTCTGATTTGGAATAGCCCAAGAATGTCATACTCTTTCTGCGGGAAAATGCAAGCTGCGTATTCAAAAACTGATTCCCAAGATAAACTAAGAAAGATTTTGCCTCAACGATTTATAAAAGAAATCTTGACGGTCTTGGTAATACCGTTACATTGAATTGCAAATGTTATAAGAAAAATATTGAATAAAGTCGACATTTTAGCAAACATGTTGTACATATGCGAGTAAAAAGTGTTTTCAATAATGAGCTAGAATTTCAGGGTGTCAATAGGTCCCAGCTGATATCAATACGTAACTGCAAGCGCTCAAAATTTTTCTTCTTGAAGTGGTAAAAGAATGTTCTATATTTTGTTTTAAGAAAAAAATCAGGCAAAAAATATTAGTGAAAACGTCAAAACGCACTAAAGCACCTTTAGCAAAAAGTATTCCACTACTGATTATGTATGCGGATAGGAATTTATGTAACTCCTGCTAGTATACTTAGAGGACGCATAATTTAATTGACCATTGACCACAAAAGTAAATTAGAGGAGATAACACAGCCAAATAAATCACGGTTGATTATGCAGGCAGTCGCTAAAAGGATAAATTCGAAGATTATTGAAGGCATTATGATGCATTAGAAGGAATTATGAGGAACTCCCTGAAAGTAGATGGGACAAATAATAGCCATTAATTGGAATTTTTGGGGAATATTTTCCGTAATATTGTACAGAGAATTAGCAACGGTTGACACATCGCTGTTTTGTGGCATTTGTGAAAATTGCGAATTGGCGGGACAATTTCCTTGGATGAGGTATATTTTCCAGCCATAATATGCAGATGGCGCTGATTACAGCCTGGGCCGATTGCGTTTGCTTTTCGTCTCTGTGACCAATGGTGCATGGCGCCATTTTATTTTTCATCAGCAATCTTCAGTACTGTAAAGGTGCAGAGGGTTTATAGCCCACGGACAGACTTCTGTAAGTAGGTGTCAGCAGTGATACTTCACTTTGCGATAGCAGGAAAGTTATGATATGAAACTAGCGGGATTATAGGTTGTAACAAGTGCCATCCTACTCACTATGGTGAAAAATGGAATATAAACCGTTTTTCTCATATTCATGAAACTCCAATTCGCAATATTCATGTCGATATTACAGAAAAAGCATCTGCGAAATGACAATATCGCGGATTAAACTTTGGAACCCTATATCTCTATAAAGGGCAACTTTTTTCAAATACAATATTATCACAATATCACTTAACTATTCTGAGGAGGACTAGGATTAGTTTTAGGCGGGTCTTTCGCCCTTGTACGTTCAACAAGCTGATTTCAATACTCCACTTGTTGGGATAAAAATGGCATGACGAGTGAGATTTGAGGTGCATGTATAAGGAATCAACAGTCATTAAAGTATTAACTGCTCTCAAGAGCATTTTGTAAAAATAAAATAGTTCAATTTGCATCACACTCATCAGGTTTGACAGCTTTAGGTGTTTGAGAGACTTTCAGTGAGTACGTTATGTTTTGGTGTTGTAGTTATAAGGTGTAATCGTAACTATAAACTATGAGTAAAATCACTATAACAACACGAACACGTGGCAGCGCAAAAATTATAAAACAGAAGCTGTAACTGCATACAAAATTACAACTTTTATAAGATTGTCGGTTTTTCTATTCTACACACTGATAAATGTTTTTCTATGTTAGTTAATCGATCGATTATAATAGTCTATGTTAATAATCTGTTAAAGCCGGTACAAATTAACCGTAATATTACTACATCTAAAACGCTTGTACTACGTACTATTCTACTACAGTTAGTTTCGTCAAGTGACTGACAATTCTGGATAGAACTATATTCTTCAAGGTGCTGTAAGATGAATCACCAATCTCTGGATAAGCTTTTGAGATGAAGATGTATCAGCCAGCATTTTTTAGGCGAATCTGTGCTGATCTCAATACTATTGCTTACAATATTCAAGTTATTGTAACTGAGAGGCAGCATCTGATAATTTAAAAGTGCTACGAAATCTAACTTTAAGTACATTTTCGTCATTGAAGCTCATATCTCTGGCATAATCATAAAAAATGAATTCTTGGAATCTTGGAATTTTCTTTTAAATGAAGGAAACGAAATTCAAGCAAAAATTAAACAGGCTTACATATGACGTTGTGAAGTCTGCATTATCGTAGCATATCGAACCTTAAATCCACCGAATATGAAATACAACTGGTTAATTTGGTTAATTCTAAGAAAGGGTAGACGTCACACTTAATGATGAGCATGATAAACATAATAATTTTCAGGAAAATGGATATACCGTTTTAATGTTACAACGGATATTGTCATCTTCTCTTCGTCCCAAAAGCCTACTAAGTCCTACACCCAACAGCAACCAGAAGTTATATAGGTGTATCAGGAATTGACAGCTATTTCTTTTTTGACGTAGGATTTCTAGTTTGTCTATTCTAATTTCTGGTACAATATTGAGGCTCGGTTAACAATAATTTCATCACCTATATAAAAAATCTCTTGCTATAAACAATATATTTGTCTACTCTATAACTTGTTAATTACTACTCGTTCTACTTCTATGTTTTTCCTATAAGGACAGTCATTTGGTAAAGAAGAGGAGTTGTTTTCTAAATGAATGTAAAATTCATACCTTCGTTATTTTCTAAATGTTAGATCTGTCAAACCTCTCTTAATAAGGGTACTACTTGTAGTACTCTAGATGTAGCCCTCTATACTCTAGAAGTGTACTAAAATTAAATCTAGGAAGAATGAGTAAATCTAATGAACTTTTAGAAGGTTACGTCACAAATGTTATCAATATGTAAGGTTTATGTCGTATGATATATGATGTTTTGTTTCTTATAGGCCGACTCTCCAGATCTATGAAATCAGACTGCTAGGGGATATCGGAATTTGGTTGTAAGATAAGAACTGTCCTAAGGGATTTTTGATCGATAGCCTCATTTTCTGATTTACTGAGATTAACCCCTAGCAGTGAGTTT